TCTTTTCTCACCTCTTCTGCTGTCACCTGGGCAATTTTCCAGCATGTCTCCTAACCTCATAGCATGCGCACGCACGAGCATACACACAAAGAGAGACAGAGAGAAAGAAAGAATGAAACAAAAAGAAATAGGAAAGGAAGAAAGAAAAGAAAAACTCTAATATCTCCTTATTAATACAGTCGCTAAATCCTTTCATCACCTACTACCAGCTTGTTCTTCTGCTCTGACAATCAGATTCATCACATTCCACTTTCCACCTGCTGCCTGTTTCCAAAAAAAATGCCCATCATACACATTCGGCCCGAAGATGGCAACTGCAATTTTTGTTGAAACATTGGATAACTTTCTACATTTGATGTGGCTCATCCCTGAATGCCAAAGTTGTACACTTGATCTAGTCTTTACTAAATATGAGGAACATAACAATATGGCCACGATGGCACGCTTGTTGACTCACCGGTAGATAATCTTACTCTCATGCAGGTACTGTAGGCCAAGGACAACACAGGCAGCATAGAACACAGCTCGTGGCTCTGTGAAAACATCTGCATGAATGTGCATCATGAGATCCCCACCTGCAGCATATTCCATCACAAAACACACATGTGCCTGGAAGCAAAACAGGTAACATCTGCATGAAGAGTGTGAACTATTAACAGTCAATTACATTAGTTTCTAAAATATGAACTGACTGCAATTTACAAGTAAATACACAACTATCTGTTCCCTGCATCATTTATAATATATATTTATATATGTGTGGGTCACAGTTTCCAACCAAAGTCACAGTTCAAAATTGGAAACTTAACATTCATTCAGGTCAGTCCATTCTCATTCATCAAATAATGAAACTGACAAGCTCATTTTCAACTCACTTGAATCAGTGCACTAATTTACACAATTATGCGACTGCAATAAAGAACATTGTAGAAACTGAAAGTTACAATATAAAATATTTCAACAAAAGCACAAATTAATTACTTAAAATTATGCATTTCAAGGTTAATGAATTATTGAAACATGCAATTTATGACACCAGAACAAAAGAAACTTATTTACAGAATGAACCATTTCAGGGCATTTTATGCCTAGGTAACATATTTTCACAAAAATGCATGATGTTCACGCAACACCTGAAAATTCCACGTACAAAAATATATCTAGGAAATCATCTAAAAAATGGTTTGTTTTGCTAGAAACACAGACCTACCTACTTGTATTCTCATCTCATCAATGGAACACGGCCGCTAATGTTATGAACATTACAGTTACATTCACTCATTATGATGAGTGACCAATAGAAACGTGTAATGGGATGTTACATTAACTCAATGTAATATAAAAAACGGGGTCCGCAGTGGCCGCGCGGTCTGAGGCGTGGGCCTTGTGCCGCTTTGTCGCTGGGACCATGGGTTCAAATCCCACTCAAGCCATGGATGTTTGTCCGCGTTTTCTGTGTTGTGCTGTCCTGTGTACAGGTAGAGGCCTTGCGACGGGCCGATACCTCGTCCAAGGAGTCCTACCGAATGTCTATAGATCGAGCCAACAAAAACGTTGGGACCCGCAGTGCTCTGGCACTTTAAGAACGGGTTGTTCCCAGTATCCAGTAATATAAAAAACATGATTGAGGTTCTCATGGTGGTGAACATGCCCACTGTGATCACTGGGGTGTGATGATGAGGTTACCAACCCTGAAGATGGAGAAGTAGGTAACCACCTGCTGGCATCACAATCAGAATTACAAGTGACAAAATTATGTTCTTTCCTGAGTGTGAGATCTTTGTAAGAAGCGACGATACAAATTTTACATCATAAACTTTCATTACCATCACATCAAAATATTTTGTGCCATCACCAAACTGGTACTAGTACTGTTCTAACTTGATAGCTTCATTTGGTTGCCGCATTAGTAGTGCTACGGATAGAGTTACAAAGTATTAAGTTACATGGATTGAGTGACTTCCAATGAACTTGCCCTTCATACAAAAACTGGTCAATGAGTCTATAAATTTGTACTACTTACCTGATATTGTTAGGGTGATTAAATCGAGGAGTATGAGGTGGGTAGGACATGCAGCACACATGGGGGTGGGTAGGGGTGTTTACAAGGTATTGGTTGGAAGGCCTGAAGGGAGTACCTCTGAATGTCAGTAAACTTCTACCAGACTACATGGCACTACAACACAGAAGACAGTCATCTTCAATCTCACTGCCATGATAACCTAAACTACTAAAGGTTTCCAATGTGTAAGGTAGTGCACAGACTTCCAACTACAGTCAAAAGCAACTGTAATAGATTTAAAATTTGAAACTAGTACTCACCTCTGTCTGGAAGCAAGCAAATAGGTTAACGAGGAAGGGATGTCTCATAGTGTTGGCAACTTCAAAGATACGTTTCTCTGAAAGCAGCGACTCCACTTCATCCCGGGCAATAATGTCACCTTTCTTCAACGCCTTGATAGCGAAGTATTCACCGGTGTTGCGATACTGTGCCAGGATCACCTACACAACAGCACAGCAACTGGCAGTACAGGTCATGTGACTACATGACTCAGCAGTCTGAAGTAAGAGTTGTATTGATGCAATGTTTTGATTGTTAAAAAAACAGGAGAAAAGAAATGAGGTCAGGCCTTTCAGCAAGACTGTTTGGAGAATCCAATTTTCTGGGAAAGAAAATAGTGACTTGGTAACGAAACCTAAGTCCCTCAGACACACAAACAAAATGCTGAAGTGACCAATTGAAAAACTAGAACGTTCAAAGAAAGAAATGCTTTTCTGATTTTATTACATCAAAAGATTTATGCACTACAAACTTCAACAGAAAAACAAATTCAAATAGACAACAAAGCATCCTCCTTAAAAGGTCTGGATGCTGTCATGTTTTTTTTTT